AAACTGCCAAGGCTGAGAATATGCAGCAAACTTGTATCAGTCCATTCTGTTTCTCTTCAAGCCTGGATGGGGCAGGGAATGGAAACTGCTAGCAAGAAATAAAACATTTCTAATGTTATCCCTTGACCTGAGAAAATTGTAGGTCTCTGTAGAGATCTGTTTCTTAGCATGGGGTTATGTTGTGGTCAGGATGCCTGGATTTAAACCTTATCTACACTGACAAATTCTCTGACCCTGCTGGAGTCCCTTCCCATCTCCAGACCTGTCCTCATCTGTAGAGAAGCCTGGACCCAGTGATCTGTAAAGACAAGGCCTTTTCATGCCTCAGATTGTATGAACTGGGGGCTGCAAGGATCCAGACGAGCCCCAGAGAAATATACAACCCAGAACCAAGGGGATGTGGGAGCCTAGATTGGGAAGCTGGAGTTAGGGCTTACTAATGACAAGAAATGATAAGCTACATTCATGAAGAGGGACAAAGGAACAGGAGAAAGGCTATGGGGCAGGTAAAACAAAACTCAAACTCATTACCATCGAGTTGGATCCGACTCATAGTGACCCCTCCTTGCGTTTCCGAGGCGGTATTACAGAAGTAGATTGCCCAACCTTCCTTCCCAGGAGTGGCTGGTGGGTTTGAACCACCAGCCTTGTGGTTAGCAGTCAAGTGCCTCAGGCATGGACAGAAATACATCGAAGGTCTGGATGAGAGCAAAGGGCAACAGTATACTTGCTATGTTGCTTCAAAGACCCAAGCTCTGACCACAGTAATGGTTTTTCTTACGGCACTTCCCAGTCCACAGCTGACATGTTATACCCCCAGCTGCTCCTGTTTATACACTCATCAGCTATTACAGGAAAGTCCCTAGCACAGTGCCTAATGCATAACATGATTTCGAAAGATCCTGCCAAACTCCCAGTGTTTCTTATGTCAGGTTAGATTGAACCAGCTGGCAGAAACCAGTGGTCGCAGCTCTGAAGGTTGGCAGTTCAAACCACGAGGCACCTCGGAAGCCTTGGCAATCTTCTTCTAAAAGGTCACAGCCTTGAAAACTCTATGGAGCAATTCTGCTCTACACATGAAGTCAGAATCACCTCAACAGCAACAACTAGGTGTAATCTGCTTTGCTTATGGGGGCAATATGCCCTTGAACGGAAGTTTTGGAAAAAGCAGTTCAAGGGCGTATTGCCTAATCTTTGTTGGATGTACAGATGAGATGGTAGAGTCTGTCATACTACTGCACCAGCTCACCCCAAAGTGAGGAAGGTTGGGGAGATCCTCAGTGGTCACAGTTTGAAGGAGTGCAGACTAAAGGTATCAGAACTGCGAGTCCCTCCAGAGTCCCATAAGGACCAGGCACACAGAAGGTGCATTGATAGCTGTGTAAGTCTAGGTTCAATGGAGGTACCTACTGTTTGGACAAGGAGTCGGCTCAGCCCATGCTAGCCTTGGGACAAAAAAAGGGAAACTATCAGGTTAGCTCCCAGGCCCTGGGGCAGTTCAATATGGAAAAACCAGAAGACTCCGGTATTGGTTTTATAAAGCAGGGAATGGAGGAGTGACCGAACCTTGGTACTTCTAACAGAGAAAGAGCCCAGGGAAGAGGATTATCCTTGGTTCTCTGCCCCAAACTGGAGTTTGCACTTACTCACTTAGTAATACCAGGGCTCCCAGAGAGGGTCCTAACACAGACCATATTGAGTTGTCTTAGCTGGGCCCCCTTCTAAAGGAAACTGTGGGAACTGTCTTGTTCAAGGTTAGTGGGTGGTTGGGGAGAGGCACACCAATAGGTGTGGAGGGTTGGTTAGGGCCGAGAGAGAATCCCAATGTATGCAAAGGCTGGAGTTCAAATGAGTTCCCAAGTTCTCTAGCAGGAGGTGAGGTGGGCCCTTGGGAGAAGCAGATGAAGCCTGTGCCCCTCGGTGCTTTGCCTTCTCCAAGCCAGTTCAGGAAACTGGAAGGATGGAAATGCGAAGCACAACCAAAAACTAAGGTCTTTTCCTAATAAGAGGTGATACATGGCATGGTTTTACATTTTATTTTGTTTTTAAAGGAAAAAAAAAATAGCATGTATCACAGTTGTGCACACAAGCTCTGGATTCAAGATTTTCTGTGTTTATAATCCTAACTTCCACTTACTAGCTATGTGACCTTGAACAAATTTTGTTGAGCTTCTCTGAGCCTGTTTCTTCATCCCTAAAACAGGGATAATGGTATTATTCAACTCACAGTTTTGAGGATTAAATAAAATAATGCATGCAAAACCCTACTAGATTTTAGCAGTTAAGTGTTCAGTAAATGTGAGCTTTTGTTAATATAGTATTACAGTGATGCATACACAGAAGACAAAAGATTATTAAACACTGAGCTTCAACCCAGTCTCCCTCTCCATTATTCTCCCCTGGGCTACTCATTGATGAGTTAACAGCACATTGCTTGTAGCTTCCAGTACAGTTTCTCTCTTCACTTTGCTGGAACTTTGGCCTGAAGATGATCCACAAGACGCATAAAATTCTGTGCTCTTCTCAATGTGATAAGGATGTTTTAATGGGCATTTGTTTCAGGAAGGCCCATGTTGCCTCTCTTTCAGCCATCTTTCTTCAGAGGATTAAGGCTTTGGACAGGTGGGACATGGTAATGACAAGCCCCAAATTCTATTCTGAATGCATGTTTGGCATGTGTGCATACAAGCATAAACATACATACTCTAAGAGGGGACGGGGAAGAGGTAACTACGGGGAGGAAGTGGAAAGAGAACTGTTACATTGTGGGGAATTGCAGTCAATGTCATGAGACAAAATGTGTATGAACTGCTGTATGGAAAGTGAATTTGCTCAGTAAACTTTCACCCAAATTACAATAAAAAAATTGAAAAAAAATCAATTGAAAAAAAAACTTTGCTGGTTATCAGGTGTGGGAGGGAAAGGGAGGGAATACTGCAAAAAAACAATAAATATAAATGAAAAACAAAACAAAAAACACCATACACATACTCTCACTTGATAAGGAAGAGGGGATCCAGAATTTTTAATTTGTGAAATCAGTAACAGATAGAAGGGGGTGTGGGGAGCTGATTACCTGGGAGCTCCTTGTTCATCTGTAGCATCAGGAACTTCTGCTGCTTTTCCTTCTCCCTTCTAGAAGACTTTCAAGGACCCTGAGGGAGGAAGTGAATCAACTGTGGTCTCAGAGGAAAAGTTCTCCACCCCTTCCGGTGGTAGAAGGAATAGGAGAGATAACAAGGATGAAGAGGAAGGCAAATGGAAATAGAGAAAATGAAGGTAAATACCCTGTATGTTAAAAGAAAAAACGAAAGTAATGAGCAGATTGCTGAGCTTCTCTGAGCCTGTTCCCTCATCTCTAAAACTGGGATAATGATATTGCTGATAAGAAGCAGGAGGGGCAATGAAAGAGAGAAAAAAGCAAGAAGCGTATGAATAAGGTAAGAGAAAAGGAAAAACAAGAAACCAGGAGAGGAATGACATCAATGAGAGTCAAAAGGCATGAATGAATGGGTATAAAAATCCAGCTTTTCCACTTCATTTGCTCAGGGTATAGAGCAAACCACCAACTTGCTGGTACCATTTAATCTTCACATTGCTTTGATTCTTGATTTGAAATGTTTCCAATTTCTTATATCCATCATCTTTATCTTCAAGAGAGGCCCCAATATTGTTTTCTTTCATTTTGGGGGCTCTGAAGCATCATTTTCTCAAAAAGTAGCTCCTCAAAGTTGTCCCAGAGCATTCAGGACTTGAAGTCTGTATGTTGTTGTTGTTGTTACAGGTAAGTTTGTATAGGTAAGGGCAAAACAAGGGGCAGAAGATGAGGTGTGATTTGGAAGAGGCCTTCTAATACCCGGCTGGCTGGTTATGGCTCCGTTCTGGGCTCTGGAACATCTGTGCCAAGAACTGGAGGACCCATTCTCAGGCCCAATCAGACACTCAGAGCTGTGTGTTCGGAACTGTAGCACTAGGTTGGAAGACTCTGGCTTCTAATTTAAACTCTACCACTCACAGATCATAAAATGTCAAAGCCAGAAGGAAATCCCAATCTAATTTCCCATGGAAGAAACTCGGGTCCAGAAAGGTGAATTAACTTGACCAAAATTCTATCACTAGATAGTGACTTCCTTTCCTTCTGTGGCAGAAAAAATCAGACTAGAGATTCTCTTGATTCACTTTTCTGTTGACAAATGCAACCCGTAAAGTGCTTAGAGATCATTAGAAGGCACCCCAGAAAGGTAAGGCTGGCATTGTTCTGGAAGCCCCTGAGTGTACCAACCTCTTAGGCACCTCATTATTTGGCTACAAAGACAGGCCCAGAGTTACTTCTACCTCCATTTTAATCCCCAGGATTGCCTGGACTCTGGAGGAAAGCAGCTCTGACTTGTTACCTGCCACCAATCTCCAGTCAGTCCATGGAGACTGCAGCCAGGGACCAGGGAGCAATGGTCTAATTCCTGGGATTAAGCAAGGCAATTATGGCTGAGTTAAAGCTAGGACGGGAAGGGCTAGGGCACCTGAGGTGGCAATGGTGGGCAAGAAGAGAGGATGAATGAGTAACCAAAATAACTTCAACTGGGTTGAGCTACTACTTTACATATAATACCTCCTCAATCCTGACTAGTTACCTTAACTTTCTACTGCAAAGGCATGACAACTCTCACTTTCTCCGCAGTGCCCACTCACAAAACAGAATGGCACCATCATTCTTCCCTTTTTTCTATTTCCTCCGACAACCTTTTTGGTCTCCTTTCTCTTATGCTTTGGGATCCTTCCCTTCACATCCACCCAACGTTTTCCATCACAGTCTCTCCCAAGATCCCGCCACTCCCACTCCCCTTTGATTTCTCCCACCCACCTCTCCCTCCCGCACTAGACTAATTTTGGTCTAATCCCAACCAATCATGGTTCCTCCCATTTTGCCTCGCGAAGTTTTCAGGTCTCCCTGTCCCCGGGTGCCTTTGGTTTTCTCCGCCGTGGGCCGCAAGCGCCTCCCCTCAGATAAAGTGAATCCAGCCCTGGGGCTCTGGGGCTCCCGCACTGCCTGGATGCTCTGGCCCACGTAAAGCATAGTCACGGCCGCCGTTGTTATCCCAGAACTCATGACCCGTCACACGGTAGCGCAAGGCGAAAAGCAAGGCGCCCCCAACAGGTGGAGCCGGCAGGCGGAAAGCGAAGCGGTCGGCGCGAGGCGGAGGCGGGGCCGGGCCGGCGTAGGCTGCGAGCGCCTCGCGTTGGCTACGCCAGCCGTCGGCGCTCCAGCGGACGCTTACGCGCTTCTCGTAGGCCAGGTCCAGCACGCGCGCGCTCCCGGCCACGCCCAGCGGGCCCGCCTCCACGCGTTCCAGGCAGATGCGCTGCGCCTGCAAGCGAGCGGCGAAGCCTGGATCGCGGGCCGGCTCCAGGGCTGCGCGCGCCTCCTAGGGGAAAGAAGAGGGAGAAGGAAGTCCCGGGCGAGAGGTAGGGGGTGGAGTCAGATCGGGCAGTGGACCAATCAGAGGCCCACTTCGGCGTTCCAGCCGTCAAAGTGGGGCCCCGCTGGTACAGAGGCTTTGAGACACTCGAAAATGGGGACCCCAAAAGGGACAAGCAAGCCCAAGGTTGAGGATGGAGATGTCCCTTGACAAATGCACTCCCACACTTCCGCCTCGGCCGGGTTGGGGAGGTTTCGGGAATAGGGCCTATCCCTGCCGCTTACCTGGAGGCTGCGGGCGCGGGGCTGGCACGGCGCGAAGTGGCGGAGAGCGTCCCTTTGCAGCTGGACCTGCACGTGGCGAGGTACCCGGGGCAGCTCTCCGGGGCGAAAGCGGCGCACGGCGGCCAGCTCCAGACCTAAGGCGTCGGCGAAGCGCACTCTCTTGCGGGTGTTGGGGCTGCGGCTGCGAGGCGCCCGGACAGCCCCTCCTCCGGCAGGTGCAGAGCGGGCCCGGCGGCCCCGACTCGGAGCGTGAGCGCGGGACCGGGCCCCTTGCCGCGTCCCGCCCTCGCCTAGCTCCTCCTCCAGCTCTTCCTCGAGGCTGGGCCTCTGGCTGCGGTAGTAGGCGCGCTCGGTCAGCGCGGCGATGAAGCTCAGGTTGCGCGGGATGTCGCTGCGGGGGGGCTGTTCGCGGGACATGGCATCCCCTTGTCCCTCCAGGGCCCCGCAGCGCCGTAGCGCTGCCCTCCCTTTCTCTCCGGTCCACCCCGCGTTCGCACAGGAGTGGCGGGGCCGGATCAGCAGCCCTCTGCCTTGGCGTGCTCTCCTTGCTATCACCTCCAGCAGCCTTCACCTCCCCTTACTCTGCCTCGCTTCGGTGGCCACCTTTCCCTCCCTCTGGCCCACTGTCGGCTCCCAGAGTCTTGGACTGTCACCTCCGGCCTCCTGCGAGCTGTCCGCTCTGAGCGTGCGCTCAACGGCGCTCATCCTCCGGTTCCGCGGCTGTTGCGTCCGGGGCCCCCGCCCACAGCCCTTTGACAAGTGGCTCCCCATCTGTCTTCACCGCGGCCGGGGCTGCTGCACCAGGGGGCGGGGTCTCCACCCTTTCGGTTCTGAGTGAAGCATCTAGCCTTAACGTCCTCAACCTCTCTGGCATGGGAAGGGTTAACTCGGGAGGAAAGTAACTTTTCCCTTTCTTGCTGGGAGAGGTTCAAAAAGTTCAGCGTGTGAGTTTATCTTCAGGTCTCAAGGTGTTTTCTCAATCCTAGGCTCCAGGTTCAGGAGGAGTGTGGCGGTGGGAGCAGAAAGGGATGGTCAGGAAATGTAGGGATTGTCTTTCAAATAGAAGCTGAGATGTGGTGCTCAAAGGGGTGGGTGCCCAATACGCTGCCCATTGGAAGGAGTCCTGGCCTGAGTTGCGGTTGTTGTTGTTGTTGTTGTTATTTGCCGTCGAGTCGGCCCCGACTCATAGCGACCCCTCCTTGGGTTTCCGAGGCAGTATCACTACGGAAGTAGGATTGCCCAACCTTCCTTCCGAGGAGTGGCTGGTGGGTTTGAACCGCCAGCCTTCTGGTTGCGGAGACACCTAAAATCTAGCCTCATCTCTAGTGCTATTTAGCTGCGTGACTTTGAACAAGGCACACTTCTCTGGATCTCAGGTTTTTTTCCAGTAGACAAGTTAGAATTATGATTTCTAAACTGACTATAAGTCCTTTGATGACAGGGGTTATGTCTGATTCATGGTCAATTTCAGAACAAACTAGCCCCTCAAATCATTGAATAAATGAACACGCTGCAGCTCTCCTGGGGCAGGGAAATGTGAGGTTCTCTAGTTCCAGTGGGAGCTGCTTAGACCAAGGAGAGCACAGAACTGGCTTTTTTCTCTTTAATTTTTTTTTTTTACATACATGAAAAAAATTGAAGCCCCCCCCCCCACTTTCTTACTGGTCTCATAGAACATTTACAGTGTGCTAGGTGCTGCTGTAGGATAGTGGCTAAAGCACTTGACTGCTAACCAGAAGGCTGGCAGTTCAAACCCACCAGCCGCTCTTCGGAAGAAAGGATGGGCAATCCTACTATCCATAGTGATACCGCCTCGGAAACCCAAGGAGGGGTCGCTATGAGTCGGGTCTGACTCCACGGCACATAACAACAACAACAGGTGCTGCTGTAAGACTTTTACCAATATAACTCAAATATCCACAACCACCTTGGAGTGGAGGATGTTATTATGGGAGCTCTGGTAGCATAGTGGCTAAAGCACTTGACTGCTAACCAGAAGGCTGGCTGTTCATACCCACCAGCCACTCCTCGGAAGGAAGGTTGGGCAATCCTATTTCCGTAGTGATACTGCCTTGGAAACCCAAGGAGGGGTCGCTATGAGCCGGGGCCGACTCGACGGCAAATAACAACAACAACAACATATTACCGATGAGAAAATCAAGGCAGAAAGGGGATAGGACTCTTGCCTAGGATCACATAACTAATAACGAGTGCTGGATGTAGTGCCTAAGGCATTTGATTGCTAACCAGAAGGCTGGCAGTTCAAACCCACCAGCCACTCCTCTGAAGGAAGATTGGGCAATCTACTTCCATGTGATACTGCCTTGGAAACCCAAGGAGGGGTAGCTATGAGTTGGATCTGACTCAATGGCAGTGAGTTTTGGTATATTACAGTCAAAAGGAGCCCTGGTGGTGCAAGAGTTAAGTACTCTTGCTGCTAACCAAAAGGTTGGTGGTCTGAACCCACCCAGCTGCTACACGGGAGAAAAACCTGGCAACCTACTCTAAAGATTACAGCCAAGAAAACCATATGGGGCAGTTCTGTCACATGCAGTCACTATGAGTGGAATCAACTCAATAGCACCTAACAACCCACAACATGTTAGTCAAATAGTTGTCCTGGGAAAATATGTCATTAAAGGAAGAGATGGGGTTCAAGTCCACCCTGTTTGGCCTTCGGTTTTCTAGTAAAGACTGTTGTATTGTCTATAAGTTGATCTTAGATGATCCTTGGGCATATAGGTCTGGACCAAGGTATAAGTTGTGTGGGTCCAGCAGCTCTGTTAGGAGCTCTGGTAGCATAGTGCCTAAGGCACTTGACTGCTAACCAGTAGGCTGGCAGTTCAAACCAACCAGCCACTCCTCGGAAGGAAGATTGGGCAATCTACTTCCATAGTGATACCACCTCGGAAACCCAAGGAGGGGTCGCTGAGTTGGGTCTGACTCGATGGCACATAACAACAACACAACAAGAAGCAGCTCTGTTGCTCTGGCTGCTCAGTCTGAAATTGAACCTTTATTTCAAATAAGCCTTTTTTTTTTCTTTCAAACTTTTTATTGTGATTTGGTGAAAGCTTACAGAGCAAATTGGTTCAACAATTCATACAGATTTTATTTCATGACATTGATTGCAATCCTCAGAGTGTAGCACTCTTCCCACTTCCTCCCTGTGTTTACTATTTCCCTTTGGCCTTCTTTCCTATCCCTTCCTGCCTTCTAAATTTATCCCTGGGCAAATGCTGCCTTTGGATCTCATTTGGTTGATTATTCTCAGAAGCACATACCTCCCTGGTATTATTGTTCACCTTATAAGCCTGTCTACTGTATGGCTGAAAATTGAGTCATGGGGGTGAGTTCAGTTCCAGGCTTAAAGGGTGTCTAAGGGCCATAATCTCAGGGTTCCACCAGTCTTCATCAGACCAGTAAGCCTAGTCATTTTTATGATTTTGAATTTTGTTTCACATTTTTCTCCTACTCTATCCAGGATTTCCTAGTATGACCCCTTTCAGTGGTTACCATAAGTAGACAGGCATCATGATGGGTACCATTAAGTTCTGGTTTTCAGACTTATGGAGGCTGGGGTTCACATGGTCCATTAGTCCTTTGGACTGTTTCCATGCATTTTTTATTTTCTTCACTTTTCTTTGCACCAAATGGGAAGAGACCAATAGGTATACCTTATTTCAACTACACCTTTATTTCTTAAATAGCTACTGCAGTTATCTTCCAAAGTCTGGCAGGAACTGTTCAATAACCAGCCAGAGGCATTGACTGATTTGTTCAGTCAACATACCGAGGGCCTGTTAGGCTATTAGGACACAAAAAATAAAATGAGTTGCTGTCAAATTGATTCCAATTCATGGCAACCCCATGTATGTGAGAGTAGAACTGTGTTCTATAGGGCTGTGTTCTATAGTGGCTGATTTTTTGGAAGATCACCAGGACTTTCTTCCGAGGTGCCTCTGGGTGAACTTGAGCCTCCAACTTTTCAGTTAGTAGCCAAGCACATTAACTGTATCACCATGGACTCTGTGAGGACACAAAGCTGAAAAAATCCAGTTCCTGCTCTCAAAGAACTTATAAATAAATGGACAAACAGAAATATATTTGGATCCAGAGACTAAAAAAGGATTTTTTTTCAAGTGAATGTCCTAGTCAAAACTAGAATTCCAAACAAAGATCTAGACTAGGCTATTATCTGAAGAAAGGGGCACCTTTATTGATGGCAGCTGGAATGATCAGCCCAAGAACAAAGAAGAAATGAGGAGGGCTAAAGCAGTGAATTGGCTGTGTGCACTCAAAAGAGACAGAAAACTGAGTGTGGACTTGAAAATGATGTGAATACAGACTGTGAGAACAACACTGATTACCTGAAGAGGAGACTTTGAAGCAGTATAACATAACTTAATACCATATGCTTTCACATCAGTCCCAGCTTTTCCACTTACAGTATGTGGCTTTGGGCATATTACTTAGTGTGATAGTTGGAGCTGTGTGTCAACTTGGCTGGTCCCCAGTTCTGTGTGGTTGTTCCCATGATGGGATCGATGACTGTGCTCTGAGTGGCCAATCTGTTGAAGGGGAGTTTCCCTAGGAGTGTGGCCTGCTTCCAGTATATCCAGGGACATCCTGGGAAGAGAGACATTCTTCTGTGGATCGGGATTCTGTTGTGCTGCCTACAACTGTCTGTGAGTGAGCAGTTCACCGTTCCGCCTGGAGATCTTGGATTCATCATTTGTTGGAGTCAACAGCCAGTGTACTGCCTGCCAGCCTTGAGCTCCTCGGCCCCTGCAGTTGCGGGAACCAGAAAAAGCCTCCAGCTTGACGTTTGATCCAGAAACTTTGGACTTGCTGGCTTCTATACGTGTGTGAGCCATTTTCCTAAGATAAATTTCTCTCTCTCTCTCTCTCTCTCTCTCTCTCTCTCTCTCTCTCTCTCTCTATATATATATATATATATATATATGTAAGCTTTGCTGTTTTTTGTTTCTCTAGAGAACCCAGTCTAACACATTTGGTACTGGGAGTGATTCTAGAGAGACAAAATCATAAGGATGGACTTCCTAGATTGGTTCTCCAGTTTGATTAATCTTAAAGACACTAGCGACTCTGCGCCTGCTAGTAAAGAGGGCCCTACTAATCTGTGGCATGAGGTGGCAAAATTAATATGTGAAAATAGCACCACCAATAGATCAAGTACTTGTGAGAAATGACGCTCTGGGTGATCAGATATTTGATACTTTTCTGCAATTTTGTCAGAATAAGGAGTGTAAGGAAGCTGGTTGGTTGGTCCTACTTACACTAGACAAAGTGGTGGAAGAGTGAGATGAGCTCAGAGCTGCTGAGTCTTGGCTTAAGCACCGCATAAAAGACCTCAGTGCTTCCAGCTGTGCTCTGAAAGAAAGCCTTATATCTTCTAGTAACAGAGCTGATACTGCTAAAAACCAAACCCAGAGTCTTATTGTAAGGGTGGCTGAATTACAATGCCAATTAAATTGCCAATCCAGAACGGTGTCTGACATTAAAGTGAGGGCACTGATTGGAAAAAAATGGGATCCTGAAACCTGGAATGGGGACATATGGACAGATAATCAGGAAGATCAGGATATGGAG